TATACACATATATATATATATATACACATACACACACACACACACACACACATACATACATATAAAATACAATATCACCAGGGAGTCCTGGTCAAGATGGACAGCATTACAAAAAATTAAGAAATTAAAAAAAAAAAAAAACATAAAAGAATAAAGAAAAAAACACGAATTAACCAATATGTAATATATAGCAGATGGATACATGCACAGATCATTGTGTGAAATAATACGATAATATAAGGAAGAGGATCTGGAAGGATTGGATTTCAGAAATATAAAATGTAATAATCTTAATGCAATGCATCACGAGCAGGAAGAGTGGAAAGATGATCCTCTTCCTATGTTGCTCTTTCCAGAGATGACCACGGATATGACCATCACTGCCCGTATCGTGTCTGTCGGTCACATTATAAGATGTTGCATCCGTGGCTCATAAATCCAGTGGTGGACGAAGTACACAAATCAATATTATAAGGAGTAACGATATGTTTTATGAAATGAAATGTAGTGAAGTAAAAAGTACGATCTTATGCTTTGGAATGTAGTGAGGTAAAAGTAAAAGTTACTCAAAATAAAACTACTCCAGTAAAGTACAGATACTTGAAAAATGTACTTAAGTACAGTAACGAATTAAAACTACTCCGTTACTGTCCACCACTGCATAAATCTAATGTTTGCTGACGTTTTTGCCCACTGAGTCGTCATCTGAATGAATAGTGACATGAACAATGTCTAAAAGCACCGTTTGAGGTTTGTGTGACCACAGTAAAAGTTGAAATATTACTCTTGGACCTCATTTGAGGAAAGCTTTCATTATTCTCCCTTCAGCATATCACACGAGTGAATGGTGTTTTTCTGATAGTAGATGATATACATGCTGAGAGCAGGTGTGAGGAATGAAGTCAGCATGAACCGCTCCATTCAGCTCTAAACTCAGATTGAGATTTAAACCATGAGCTCCTACAGACTAACACGTCTGTCAAAGAGCTCTGCACGTCACGGGTCTTTGAATGAAGGAAAATAAAACAGTGCAATATATCTGGCTATTTTGAGATGAGCATTATTCTGCACACTTACTGTGTCAATACCAGCAGCTACCAATAGATCAAGCACACTTTCTCTTTTCAGATACTTTTTTTTAGGGATTTATTGCGCAATAATGGTGTAAAATAAATGCAATATTTCTTTGTTCAACACATTTGCTATTAAACTGTATTTAATCACATATATTGGCCACCCTGCTCTCTAGATATAGAAATCACCATCAGTCACTGGAAAAACTATATTTAACCATTTAAATTCACCAAAATAATGTTGTTGTTGTTGTTGTTTTTTGTTTTTTTAAATGAAATATATAAACTATTCAAAAGATTGGGGTCAGTAAGATTATTTAACGTTCTTGAAAGAAGTCTCTTCTGCTCACCAAGGCTGCATTTACTTGATTAAAATACAATATAAGCAGTAAAAATTGTGAAATATTATTACAATTTAAAATAACTGTTTTCTGTGAGAATATGTTAAACTGTAATTTATTTCTGTGATGCGCAGCTGAATTTTCAGCATCATTACTCCAGTCTTCAGTGTCACATGATCTTCAGAAATCATTCTAATATGCTGATTTGCTGCTCGAGAAACATTTCTGATTATTATCAATGTTGAAAACAGTTGTGCTGCACAATATTTTTGTGGAAACTGTGATGTATTTTATTTTCCAGGATTCACAGATGAATAGAAAGTTCAAAAGAACAGCATTTATTTGAAATAGATAATATCTTTTGTAACATTATTAATGAGTTTACTGTGATTTTTGATCAATTTAATGCATCCTTGATTAATAAAAATATTAAATCCTTTCAAAGATCTTACTGACCCCAAACTTTTGAACAGTAATGTTTTAAAAAGTGATGATTTTAAGATACTTCACAGTTCAACAACTAAAATCAACTTGTCCAATAATAAACACAAGTACTGACAATCTTCTCAATAAATAATGCAAACTTTATGTTTTCAAATTATAGTGAAGTAGGTTCAGTAAATGTTTATTTTTTTTATCATTAAATAGTATTATACTTAAATATTGTCTGGTTTGCCAATCAGTTACAAACCAAGTTTTGAATCTTAATTAAAATCGTATAATCTTGTTGTCTAATGAACCTGCCACTGTATATTATGAATATTGCTGCTCTAACAAATTGCATTTGTTCCTGTTTTGTAAGTCATTTTGAATAAAAGCATCTGATAAATTCATAAATGTAAATGTGAATCCACTCGGCAACAATGGTTGAACAAAAAAAAAAAGTACTGTCTGAAAATGACTGCATTTCAGAGAAAATCTAAATATTAAAGACAGAGGCTGATGAATTTTAGCAAGATCACTCAAGTATCTGTCTAACCCTTCTGCATGCCTGCAGATCTCTCAACCCATAAAACACACACACACACACACACACTCACTCACACACACTCACTCACTCACTCACTCACTCACTCACTCACTCACTCACTCACTCACTCACTCACTCACTCACTCACTCACTCACTCACTCACTCACTCACTCACTCACTCACTCTTTGAAAAGTAATCAAAAAGTAATCAAAAGTAATCAGTTACATTACTTTAATAAAGTAATTGAAAAAGTTACACTACTATTACATTTTAAATAACTTGTAATCTGTAACCTATTACATTTCCAAAGTAACCTTCCCAACACTGCACACCACACACATCACACACACACTCCGATCAGCAGCTCGAGGTGTTCAGATCACTTTCTCCTCCTGGTCTTACAGACGCCACTTCTCTTCTTATAGCCTGGCCTGAATTCCCAGAATTCCATGGGGTAAGTCTCCTGGCTTCACACACCACAGATCCCGACATCGGGCCTCTGTGATAAGCACAGCTCCTTCATCTGTCAATTTCTCACCCCGAGCTGATTGCGAGGCACCCAGTAACGAGCCGAGGGCCTGTAAACTATCCAGTGTGAGAGATCGACCGCCGTTAATGACTTTCAGCAGGAAACCAACTGCACCGAGCACCAGATCAACCCCAGCTAAACACCAGAGCGACCACACACACGTCTCAGACATTCATTTGCAATCCGTCAATGCAGTTTGCAACGTGTCGACAAACGTGTTGCAGACAGAGTTTCTGACACATTTCTGCTCATATTATCAATCATACAACTATATTTTCCTGTAGAATAATGTGTGCTAATGAATCTTGAGCATTACTGTTATACACTATGCTACTGTTCAAAAGTTTGGGGTCAGTAACATTTTTTAATAATGTAATACTTTTATTCATTAAGGATGCATTAAATTGCTCAAAAGTGACAGTAAAGTCATTTATAAAGTTGCAAAAGATTTCCATTTCAAATAAATGCTGTTCTTTTGAGCTTTCTATTCATCAAAGAATCCTGAAAAATAAAATGTATCACAGTTTCCACAAAAATATTGAGCAGCACAACTGTTTTCAACATGGATAATAATCAGAAATGTTTCTTGAGCAGCAGATCAGCATATTAGAATGATTTCTGAAGATCATGTGACACTGAAGACTTGAGTAATGATGCTGAAAATACAGCTGCACATCACAGAAATAAATTACAGTTTAACAGATATTCTCAGAGAAAACAGTTATTTTAAATGGAAATAATATTTCACAATATTACGGTTTTTACTGTATTTTTGAACAAATAACTGCAGCCTTGGTGAGCAGAAGATACTTCTTTCAAAAACAAACAAATAACCAATATAACCAACCCTAAACTGTATAAACACACATTTCACCATCACATCAATTCCTGATGGATAGAATCATTAAATATTTTGATTCACCTGGAAATACATCACATAATGGCAATCAAATGGGTTCTACATGTAATTTCATTTTAACCTCGCAGCAATGCAGCGGACTAGAAAAATAAATGTGTGTTAACCAGAAGTAAAGTCTCTAAACACAACTCCAACGGCCAAGAGACCATTAGCTGTTCACTGTTATATTCTACACTGGAGTGTGTGTGTGTGTGTGTGTGTGTGTATTTAGAGATCACTGAACCCTCAAGCTGTCCATTTGCATTTCAGCTCTAATTGCCTTTTTCCAGATTCGTTTATGCAATGAGGCAATTACTAGGAATTGTTACCGAGAAATTAACCTCATGCTGCATCTTTATTCTATACGTAGGATATACAGAAAGACACTAAATCAACATATAATCTTTCCTGTGCTCACCAAACATGGAGATATGATTTCATGTACTGAAAATTAAAGGAATAGTGAAATGTCCTCACTTTCAGGCCAACCAAGATGTAGATGAGTTTGTTTCTTAATGGAAACAGATTTGGAGAAATTACACTGTCTCAGCAATGGATGCTCTGCAGTGAATGGGTGCCGTCAGAATGAGAGTCCAAACAACTGATAAAAACATCACAACATTCCACAATTAATCCACACCACTCCAGTCCATCAGTTAACATCTGTTTGTATGAAACAAATCCATCAAGACATCTTTAAACCTTCGCTTCTGGCTAAAATACGAGTCCATAATCCATAATAACGCTTCCTCCAGTGAAAAATTCCATCTCCTTTTGTCTCTCACATCAAAATCCAGCCGTATATTTGTTTAGAGCTGTTTTGGACTGTTGTAAACGGTGCTTGATCCGTGCAGATTTCTCTCCTGATTCAGACAAGACCAATTTTTCACTGGATAATGGATATTATGGATTATGGACTCTTATTTTAGCTGAAAGCAACAGTTTAAACTTAAAATAAAAAATGTCTTAATGATGGATTTGTTTCCATAATAACGCTTCCTCCAGTGAAAAAGTGCATCTCCTGTTGTCTCTCACATCAAAATCCAGCCGTATATTTGTTTAGAGCTGTTTTGGACTGTTGTAAATGCTGCTTGATCCGTGCAGATTTCTCTCCTGATTCAGACAAGACCAATTTTTCACTGGATAATGGATATTATGGATTATGGACTCTTATTTTAGCTGAAAGCAACAGTTTAAACTTAAAATAAAAAATGTCTTAATGAATTTCTCCAAATCTGATGAAGAAACAAACTCATCCTAATCTTGGATGGCCTGAGGGAGAGTGCATTTTCATCAAATGTTCATTTTTGGGTGAACTGTTCCTTTAAAATAAAGTGGGATCGTTTGAAGGACAATCCAGCTAGAAAGAAGAAATTAGGCCAGGCGTGTTCTGACCCGACAGCATCACACCTTACCGCCGCTGAACTAATTAACTGCAGAATCACTACTCTACTGATTTAACCCGTTACAGGTTTCCTGAAGGTCAAAACAGCTTTATGATCATCCATAAAGCATCCAGCAAACTGAGATGGACACTTGAGACACTGCAGAACATACATTGTACAGTCGTCAGTGCAACTAAAAAAACACAATACTGGCTGTTTCATAAACAACATCCCATGACCTTTTTCATGTTCGGTGTCATTTCTCCAAGAGATTAATACAGTACGAGAAGAAATCTCCCTTTATCTATGCAGTCATAATTCCTGCATAATATGTCCCACTAAGAGTAGGATAAATGGGTCATTCCATGAAAAACAGGTGCTTTGTCCATTTTACAAAGTGATTTTTGCATTTAATTGCATTTCTCTATGTGCTGCTTTACAACAATCTGCATTATATAATGCTCTATAAAAATAAAGAAGACTTGGCTTGAAGTGCATCAGTGTTATTTTAGTATCACTGACATGCTATTTTAGTTTTTATTATATTTTGAATTTGTATTTATTTTTTTTATTTTCGGCTTTCATTTTATTAGTTTTTGTTTATTCCTATACAGTTTTTATTTCAGTTTGAGTTATTTTAGTAAATCAAGTCAAACTAAATGAAAATGAGAAATGTTGCTGAAATTAAATCAGTTTAAAGTTTTTTTAATATTTTATTTTATTTTATGTGTATTTTTATTTTAAGTACAGAAAGGTTTATTTTTTTGTTTTAGTTTTAATATACACATTCTTAATGATGAATAATGAGACATACACAAAATGACATATATATTATAAAAGTCTACAATATTAAAATTCATTTACACTATATTTACTTTGCAACAATGCAAAATAATAATAATAATAATAAAATTAATTAAAAATAAGGGCTGCTGGGAGATTCCGTAAAAATGATTGTTGCAGTTATTTTAAAAATGGATCAATTAATCGGATCTAGCCTAGATATTGGTTTATTCCTTCAAAAAAACAACACTTTGAACGAGGGTCTCAGGATCTGATAAAGACATTATATCATGACTTACCTCTCTCTGTGCAACGGAAACATTCTTCTTACTGGGCAGATGAGGGTCTTTTTCTGCCATTAGAAATGAGAGAAAGAAAACAATTAAACATAAACCCACCCGAACAGATATAGTTCATATATACATTGAAAATATTGAGAAAATGAATGACATATTTGGGTCAAGGTCGTGGATGAAGTTAGTGGACTCATTCCAGTCCATTTAAAGGATGCAAACAATCTTAATAATAAATAATGCATTATAATATCTTAACAAAAAATGTAGACTTTTTTAATTAATAGTTTTATTTGTCTTCTTGATCATGAAATAATCTGATTAAACAAAACCTAAACATCTATAACTAAATAAAAATAATGCAAATAATTATTACATTTAAATATTAATTGCTTTTATTTAATCAAATGTATTTATGCATTTATTCTTATTTAATTAAATAAAGATAAATACAAATAATTAAGAAATTTAGTATCATGTACAAGATTTAAATGTTAAATATAAGTTCAAATGCAAAGTGTGTGTTTCTGGTCACCTTGCAGTTCAATCACCTTTAAGATTTCTCGCAGGTCACTTTTTTTTATACGAGCTGAAAAAACTGCATGTATAATGCTAATATTTCACACAATTAAAGAATGTTGTTTAGATGCATCATAGCATGTCATACTGTGTCAAATCCACAAATATACAATGACTATCTCCACTGTTTCCTAACGTAGAACTGTCCTAAATAAATACATCTTTGCTTTGAGACATATAAACAGTTAATAACATGTGAAGTCTTTAATCTAACATAGCTGCAGTGACTAAAAGTGCTCTGGCAAGTTCTTCTGGCTTCAGTTTCGCTCAGTTAAAGTCTGTTAAGTTCCTATAAATGAGACTATGACAGAGCAGTAACTCTTACCCCATGTCGTTTTAAACACACAGGGTGTCAAACTCTTGTTCCTTTTCTGGAGCAACTGTTCGCAGCCTGTAGGGTGTAATCCGTGTCTGGAGTCTTTCTATGCGGCATATATGTGCATGGCAGCACGCGAATGCAACAGCAGCAGCAGCAGCAGAAACTGGACGTGATGACCGAGCGCGCGGTCAGTTCCTCTTTTCCCGGCGTGTCTGTCTTTGGTTGTAGTTCAGCAAGCACGCGGATTCGCGGGAAAGGCCGCCGGCTGTGACGCTCCGCGTTCGAATGCTTCCCGCAGCGACTTTAATGACGAGCCGTGACTGTTACTTTGTAACCAGTTTAGCTTTGATGTCCCGCGCCTCCCGCCGCTCTGTGCTCGAGCGCTGCCGCTGGCGGGTTTTTTTAAGAGACTCGCGGGCGCCGCCCGGCGGACAGAATCGGAGCTGCAGCATCATTGCGGCGCCTCTCGCCCTCTAGTGATGAGAGAGAGACATTTGTGCTGATGTAACCCTAATGAGACGCCTCAAACCTTCCTCGCTTACAAAATGCAGTAAAACAATGGCGTTACCATGGTTTTTTTGGGACATATTATGATTTATATATTATTTTGGTCACATATGTTGAAAGATGTGGCCACTGTTAAAAAAATAAATACATGCATGTAAAAATGAATACAGAATGTCATATTCATGAAAAAGTAGCCTAAAAAATATGGCCACTGTTAGAAACACACACACACATTTTTTTCTAACAATGTCCAATTAACTTTTTCATGACTTCTACATTCTGGATTCTACATTTTTACATGCATATATTTATTGTGTGTGTGTATATATACACGGAGCAAAATTATAAACGCAACACTTGTTTTTGCCCCCATTTTTGCCACACCTGTGAGGTGGATGGATTATCTCGGCAAAGGAGAAGTGCTCACTAACACAGATTTAGACAAGATTTGTGAACAATATTTGAGAGAAATAGGCCTTTTGTGTACATAGAAAAAGTCTTAGATCTTTGAGTTCAGCTCATGAAAAATGGGGGCAAAAACAAAAGTGTTGCGTTTATAATTTTGTTCAGTGTATGTATATTTGGACCTTTCATTAGGTGTAACAGCAAGTAACATGGATTAAGAGCTTGTCAGTGAAGTCAAATTCATTTTCAATGTCCAGTAATTAAGTCTGACCTTGTGTGAACTTAGAAAAAAGCTCAATGAATAGCACAGTAGGTTTAATGTTGATTGATGAAAACGCCACATCAGATCTGCTCTGTCACTACAGAGAATGACACATTACAGCAGGGAGTTTCTGCAGTTAATACAAATGAATGTTACTTTCGGGGGAAAGACAGCTTTAGAGCAAGTATGATCTTACTGTAATTATGGGATTTAACATTCCTTCCTTATTAAGGCTAGTACACATCATTAATAACAAAAGTCTCAAATCTGACAGACTTATGCAATTTGCATTGAGCAAAACCGTTTCTCATTTTCACTTCAACTAAATTGAGACCACAGAAATCAGTTTGTGAAAAAGTAAACACCAGAAGTGTGCCTCCTTACTGTAATCCAGGATAGAACAGTTTAAATACACAATGGAAGCTTGTTTCCACAAGATAAAAATAATAGGTAATTGTGACTTTTTATTTCAATTCAGATTTTTTTTCCTTTCAATTCTGGCAAGATAGAAACTCAGAATTGCCAAAATAAAAATATAAAATAAATAAAAGTGAGATAAAAAGCCACAATTACATAAAAAAAAATTAAATTCTGTGTAAAAAAAACCCTGATTTTCTATATATAAATCAGAATCCAGAGGAAAAAAAAGTCACAACTGCGATATGTAAACTTAAAATTTTGACTTTTTTCTTGCAATTCTGACCAAAAAAAAAAAGTCAGAATTGCAAGATAAAAAGTTGCAATTTTATTATTTTTTTTTTATTCTGTGGCAGAAACGGGCATGCATATTCAATATTTAAGCTTCATTATAGAGCATACACAAGACAATGAAGAACTGAGAACTGCATCGGATGAAAGAAATCAACATTTATTCATAACGTTACAAGAAGTACATATTGTGGGGGTGAAAACTTTTTCCACAAAACAAAATCCTGAATTATACTTCATATCCTGATGTTTTTCCAATGTTCCTCTTCATTGCAAGTTAAAGCATATAAATGTATTGTACATTTCATTCAAATTTGATGCAACTTACGCAGCAGAACCTCAGAATTACCTAGTCTCTTCATACTCGATAATAACCAGAATGCATGGCTGTGGATCACCTTGGCCTTGTTGTGGATGTTAGCATCTCATTGTCATTGGCAACAATTTGGCTGATGTCATATCAAATCCGAGCATTGATATTTACAGTTGAAGTATGAAATGTGAAAACTAAACTGTTTCAAGGATTTTCAGAGAATGAGTTAATTCTAAAATGAGAGGTTAACATGGAAAAGTCTGAATATCAGTCACGCCAACATTTTTGCGACCTTGGTTATGAACGAATCATGATTGTCTTGTGGGCAAAGAAAAAAAAGAGAAAGCAAAGGATGTGAACTTGAACCGAATCTGTGCTCGATGCTATAAAATGCGAGTGGTGGTACTTGGGTAATATCAAACAGTCAAAAGGGCTGTGAGTATGGAGTAACATCAAGGTATAAACACTCCAAAGTAAAAGTACAAAGTTGAGGCGACTGGAATCGGTCGGAACAGATGTTAAAAGCTGCCGTAAAATTCTGAATGGGTCCGTCGAAACCAAATAAACTTGAGCAAATTCCACACTGAGAGAGGTTACGAGAACTTCACGTCAGACTGTATACAAATAAAAATATAAGCTACTAAGAAGAGGGGGGAAAAGCAACTAGAATGGGGGAAATGCAAAACTACAATCTACCACAACACAAATAATAATGAAGGAGGGCATTCTGGAAACACACAAACACACACACACACCTGTTGGCGGCGTAAAAAACCGCCCGCTCTCACTGACATCATAACGCAAGAGCGTAAGACGAGAGCCTCTTACGGTCAGACACAAAAACAGCGAGAATCTCACCTGTCTGTGCTTCATCCTTCTGCTTTCTCTGAGGCGCAACTAAAGCGATTCGGGCACAACAATATGACTGCGTCCTGATTGGACAGAATAGCAGTGGGAGGGGTCTACTGTGATTGACACATTTGTCTCGTACCAAATCGAAAAGATTCAGATGATCAAGTTTCACCTGATTGGACAGAATAGCAGTGGGAGGAGTTTGCCGTAATTGACATGTTACATCGAACAGACCCAGATGAACAAGTTTCACCCGATTTTGACGACATTCCTGACCCACAGATCACGGTGATTTGGATTGATTTTTAAGCCACATCTAAATCAAGCAAGCTAAATCGAGCGGTTCTACTTGACTGCTTTTATTCTAGTCGAACAAAAACCATTTTAAAACAAAGAGGAAAGTAAGAAAGGATAGATCCGTCAGTCCCTTCGGCAAGGGACAAAACATTTAAAAGGAAAAAGAAACATCCCAAAGCCATTTCTACCCCTAATCACCTAGCGGAGAGCAGACGAGATGCGACGGGCCCTCCATTTGTTACGGCACCTCTACCCTCCCGGACTTAAGGCGGAAAACTTTCCTCAAAGTTGAATCGTCCTTCAGAGTGTCCTAGCACCTTGGTTGGAGACGAGAGGCGCTCCGAAGCGAATGAAACAAACCGCGAAAACTCTTGCCACAGGCGTCCGTTCTCTCAACGATGTGCGGTGGTAGAACCTGAATGTCAGATGTCAACTTTGAGGGGAACTCTTATTTTCCCGAAATTCAGCTGCTTGGAAAGCGTTTATAATTACTTGAAATACGTCACCCCCTCTCTCAGCTCGTGGAGACGAACGACAGAGCAAGCGTGGTTTTTGCAGGTAGTTTTAAGAGAACTTCATCTTGGCTCCGTCTCTGTTGGCAGGGCAAGGCCTGAGGCTGACATCAGCAGCCAGGCGAGAGAGAGAGGAGGCCGGGAAGGGCCCCTGCGCTCCAGGAGCCTCCTCCACGTTGCGGAGTTGCAGATCGAAGATCTCGTGTTTGGTCTCCTCCTAACACTGCGTCTCCCCTCTCCTCCCCGTCCTCAACGAATGGTGGATGTAGTCCGCCACTCACACGTTCTCTTTCGTCCTGTCCAGCTTTACTTCCTCCTGTGATTGGTTTGATTCTCTCCTGTTGCTCTCACACCATGGTGCTTCAGTTGTAACAGTGGTAAACGGGCATCCATGTTTGTTCTTTTTTTATATTTACCCATATTTAAAATGCTGATGAACTAAGCTCAGCACAGGCCTAGCTCCTGTTCCAACAACCTGCGAACACAGACAGAGAAAATCGACAGCGTTAGCAATGGGGGACTTACACACATGAGGTGTTTATCCATTCATAAATAGCTAAGGAAAAAAAAGCAAATTGGAACTGAAAAAACAAAAAAAAACAAACACACACACACACAAAGCTGTTACTGTAAACATAATTAGCTACTGTTTTTAAAATGAACAAATAAGCATCAGGTTTTAAAAATGGGCTCCACGGAGAAGAGGACAGAGATCGTTTTTTAGATTTTATTTTTAAAACTTGCGTTTTCAATTTAATTTTAGTTCAGGTTTTAGTCATTTTGTTTTGTTTTTCTTTCATTTGTATTATTGTTTTAATTTATTATTCATTTAATATAATTTAATTTTTATATTTTGTTTTTAATTTAATTTTAGTTCATTTTAGTAATTTCATTGTTTTTCTTTCATTTTTATTATCGTTTTAACTTATTTTTAATTAAATATTATTTTAATCATTTTACTTATTTGTATTTTGCTCATGTCTATGTAGTATTTATTCATTTTTATTTATTAGTTTTAGTTTAAGTTTTAGTGATTCGTGTGTGTATACAAAAAAAAAAGAAATGGCACAGGTGAAACTCAAGGACGCATTTTGGGTTTCTAGGCCGTATTAGGCATCAATTACACTAACCAGATGAGTAAATTAATGTACACTACTGTTCAAAAAAAGTTTAGCATTGATAAGATTTTTTAAATGTTTTTGAAAGAAGTCTCTTCTGCTCACCAAGGCTGCATTTATTTGACCAAAAATACAGTAAAAACAGTAATATTGTGAACTATTTTTACAATTTAAAATAACTTTCTATGTGAATATAATTTAAAATGTAATTTATTTCTGTGATCAAAGCTGAATTTTCAGCATCATTACTCCAGTCTTCTGCGTCACATGATCCTTCAGAAATCATTCTAATATGCAGATTTGCTGCTCAAGAAACATTTCTGATTATTATCAATGTTGTGCTGCACAATATTTTTGTGGAAACTGTGATACATTTTATTTTTCAGGATTCACA